TTGATCACCTCCCCCTGATGGGGGAGCAGCCTTACCAGGCCACAGAAGAGGACAATGCAGCCACTTCTGCGGAGAGCTGATAGTCTAAGATCAGAAAGAAGGAGAGGAAGACCTCCCCTATTAGTGGACTTGGGGAGAGGCATGCATGCAGAAAGGGGAGGAAGGGTGGGATCGGGAGGGGAGGATGGAGGGGCTTATGGGGGGTACAAAATGAATAAAGTGTAATTAATAATAATAATAAAATATTAAAAAATAAGGAAATCATGAAATTTGCAGGCAAATGGTAGGAACTAGAAAAGATCATCTTGAGTGAAGTAACCCAGAAGCAGAAAGACACATACGGTACATACTCACTCATAAGTGGTTATTAGACAAATAATATAGGATAAACATATTAAAATCTGTACTTCTAAAGAAGCTATACAACAAGGAAGTCCCTAGAGAAGATGTTCAATCCTCATTCAGAAGGACAAACATGATAGACATCAGAAGCAGAAGACAGGGAACAGGATAAGAGCCTCCCACAGACCACCTCTGAAAGACTACTGATCAAGGTATGGAAGCAGGGGCTGAGACTCATAGAAAAATTTGGGCAGAATGCATGGAATTTTGTGAAAGAAAGGGGAGACAGGAATACCTGGAGGGGACAGAAGTTCCAAAAGTAGGCAAACAAAGACAATAAATAAATAAATAACCTCAACCCTGAGTGCCTTGAAGATAATGATACCACACCCAAGGACCATACATGGAGAGGACCTGAAACCCTGGCTTGGATGTAGCCTATAGATTCAGTCTCCAAGTGAGGTCCCTAAGAAGGGGAGCAGGGCCTTTCTCTGGCATGAACTCAGTGGCAGGCTCTGGCAAGTGCAGTCTTGCCAGGCCACAGAAGAAGACAATATAACCAGTCCTGATGAGACCTGATAGGCTAGGGTCAAATAGAAGGGGAGGAGGACCTTCTCTATAGGTGGAGTAGGGGATAGGCAGAAGGGGAGAAGAGGAAGGGAGAGTGGGATTTGCAGGAGACTAGGGAGGGAGCCAGATCTGGGATATAAATTGAATAAATTGGATGATAATTATTATCATTTATTAGTGATTAGTAGAGATATGAGACATTAAAATTTGAAATCAGTAAATTACCTTCATTATGGGGAAACTTGGCTGAATTTTTAAGCTTAGTATTCCTCTCTCAACTGTTATCAGATACCACAGACACCAATCTTTTTATTCCAACACGTGAAAATACAAATAGAAAGTATTTGCTTTCAAGGGAAACCTCTCTTCTGAAAACTAACATAGTGTCTACCGGAATAGATGGATGCTTCATACATTTTTAACTTATAATTTTGAAAAAAGCATACTAATATTTTATTACAACAAAAATGTGGCTGTGCATAGGAAACACTGTGTAAAGAAAAGTAAAGATTAATATTCTCATTGTGAGCATGTATCGTATTTCCATCCCTATTTCAGTTGTAGGGGTCATAGACGACAATTATGACAGATATATCATTTGAACAAAATCTTTTTATCTTTTCAATGCATGTAACTAAAATCAGGGCACATATACCAATGTCAGATGTGAAGGAATTGTGCATTCATGCTAAGGAAAGAAACGCTAGCAGAAAAAAAAAAAGCTTTATTTTAGCCTCTATGAAATAAAACAAAAACAATATTTGGTACACCATTAAAGTTGGGAACTATCATATTAAAGTACTCTTTCTAGGATCAAGGAAGAAGGTGTGGGTTATTCATTCACCTTCTACCTGGAAACTGTTACTCAAAAATTACAAACAGTTGGACTGGCACCATTTTTTTTTTTTTCATTGAATGGTTTTGGCTTCTGTGTCAAAGATCAAGTATTCATAGGTGTGTGAGTTTATTTCTGGGTCTTCTATTTGGTTCCATTGATCCACCTTTCTATTTCTATGCCAATACCATGCAGTTTTTATTACTATTGCTCTGTAGATCAGGGATGGAGATACCTCCAGATCTATTGTTGTACAGAATAGTTTTGGAAATTCGGGGTTTTTTTGTTTCTCTATATGAAGTTGAGAATTTTTCTTTCAAGGTCTGTAAAAAATTGTGTTGGTATTTTTTTTTCAACGATGTTTGTAGCAGCTTTATTTGTAATGGCCAGAAACTGGAAACAGCCCAGATGCCCCTCAGTGGAGGAATGGATACAGAAATTGTGGTATATCTACACAATGGAATATTACTCAGCAATGAAAAACAAGGAAATCATGAAATTTGCAGGTAAATGGTGGGATCTGGAAAAGATCATCCTGAGTGAGCTATCCCAGAAGCAGCAAGATGCACACGGTATATACTTACTCATATAGACATATAATATGGATAAACCTACTAAAATCTGTACACCTAAAGAAACTAATCAAGAGGGAGGACTCTTGCTAAAATGCTAAATTCCTACCCAGAAAGGCAAAGAGGATGGACATCAGAAGAAGGTGAAAAGAGGGAACAAGTCAGGAGCCTGACACAGAAGACCTCTGAAAGGCTATGCCCTGCAGACTATCAAAGCAGATGCTGAGACTTATGGGCAACCTTTGGGCGGAGTGCAGGCTATCTTAGGAAAGATGTGGGAAACAGTAAGATCTGGAGAGGACAGGAACTCCACAAGGAGAGCAACAGAACCAAAAAGTCTGAGCACAGGGGTCTTTCCTGTAACTGATACTCCAACCAAGGACTACGCATGGAGATAACCTAAGACCCCTGCACAGATATAGCCCATGGCAGTTCAGTATCCAAGTGGGTTCCATTGTGATAGGAACAGGACTGTCTTTAACATGAACTGATTGGACTGCTCTTTAATTACCTCCCCTGAGGGGGGAAGCAGCATTACCAGGCCACAGAAAAAGACAATGTAGCCACTCCTGATGAGACCTAATTGACTAGGATCAGAAGGAAGGAAAAGAAGACCTCCCCTATCAGTGGACTTGGGGAGGGGCATGCATGCAGAGGGTGGAGAAAAAGAGGGATTGGGACAGGAGGAGGGAGGGAACCACAGGGGGAATACAAAGTGAATAAAGTATAATCAATAAAGAATTAAAAAAAAAACGAAACAGGATTGATGGGAATTGCATTGAGTCTGTAGATAGCTTTTGGCAGAATGGCCACTTTCACTATGTTAATCTTACCGATCCGACTCATGAGCACGGGAGATCTTTCCATCTTCTGATGTCTTCTTCAATTTCTTTCTTCAGAGACTTGAAGTTTTTTTCAAACAGGTCTTTCATCTGCTTGGTTAGAGTCACCCCAAACTACTTTATGTTATTAGTGACTATTGTGAAGGCTGTTGTTTCCCTGATTTCTTTCTCAACCTTTTTGTCTAGGGTATATAGGAGGGCTTCTGATTTTTTTTTTGAGATAATTTTGTATCCAGCCACTTTGCTGAAGGTGTTATCAGCTGAAGGAGTTCTCTGGTAGAATTTTTGGGGTCACAAAGGTATACTATTATATTATCTGCGAATAGTGAAACTTGATTTCTTCCTTTCTGATTTGTATCCCCTTGCTCTTCCCTACTTGTCTTATTGCTATAGCTAGGGCTTCAAGTATTATGTTGAAGAGATATGGAGAGAGTGGGGAGCCTTGCCTTGTTCCTGATTTCAGTGGGATTGACTTAAGTTTCTCTCCATTAAGAACACATGCTGGAGAGGTTGTGGAGAAAGGGGAACCCTCCTCAATTGCTGGTGGGAATGTAAACTTGTACAACCACTTTGGAAATCAATCTGGCACTTTCTCAGACAATCAGGAATACTACTGCTTCCTCAAGATACAGCTATACCACTCCTAGGCATATATCCAAAATATGCTCAAGTACACAAGAAGGACATTTGTTCAACCATGTTTAGCCAGAACCTGGAAACAACCCAGATGTCCATCAGTGGAGGAATGGATACAGAAATTGTAGTACTTTTACACAATGGAATAGTACTCAGCAATTAAAAACAAGGAAATCATGAAATTTAAAGGCATACGGTGGGCTCTAGAAAAGATCATCCTCAGTGACATATCCCATGAACAGAAAGACACACATGGTATATACTCACTTATAAGTGGGTACTAGGCCTATAAAATAGGATAAACATACTAAAATCTGTACACCTAAAGAAGATAAACAAGAAAGAGGACCAGGGGCAAGATGATTAACCCTCCCTTAGAAAGACATAGGGGATCGACATTAGAAGTAGGAGAAAACAAGTAACAGGACAGGAGTCTACCATTGAGGGCCTCTGAAAGTCTTGTGTACCTAGCAGTGTATCAAAGCAGATGCTGAGACTCATAACCAAACCTTTGGCAGAGTCCAGGGAATCCTCTGAAAGAAGGGGGAGTTAGTATGACCTGGAGAGAACAGGAGCTTCACAAGGACCAAATATATCAGGGCACAGGGGTCTTCTATGAGACTGTTTCTCCAACCAAGGACCATGCATGGATATAATCTAAAACTCCTGCTCAGATTGTAGCTCAGTATCCAAGTGGGTTCCCCAGTAAGTGGGACAATGATTATTTCTGACAAGAACTCAGTGACTGGCTCATTGATCTTCCTTTCCCCCCACCCAAGGAAGGAGCAGCCTTGCTAGGCCACATTGCAACCAGGACATTGCAGCCAGTCCTGAAGATACCTGATAAGGTAGAGTCAGAGCAAAGGGGAGGAGGACATTCCCTATCAGTGGACTTGGAAGAAGGCAGGGAGGGATGGAGGGTGGGTGGGATTGGGAAGGAAAGAGGGAGGGGACTATGGCTGGGATACAATTGAATGACCTGTGATTAAAATAAAATAAAAAATTACAAACAAGTTATCCCCTAAATAAACAGTATTAGAAAAATGAACAGCAGTAAAACATGGACTAAATATTGGCAGGTTCTGAAAAAGAAACAACAACTCAATGAAAAGATAAATTGAATCATACTCTACCTCTCAGCCTCCCTGGAATTTTTTATCTATCCTGATATAAATAAAATATGTAAATGAAAGATGAACTTACTGCTTGTCTATATTCCCATTGAAATGATCATTCTTCACATAACCATGCTTTGAATAAATAGAAAAAAAGCAGTCAGCATCTGTATCTCCTAGATCATTTTTTCTGTCTTTTATTCTCCAAAAACACTTGGAGTCAATCAAATTGCAGAAAAAAAAGGAAAGCTTCAGAACCAAGAGGATAAAGATAAAAGAGAACATCTTTCTCATGTCACTAAGAAGTGAAGCTGAGCAAAGTTCAGCATGAACAGTCAGGCAGAAATCATGTACCAATTTTGCATGAGCACATTAAGGAGTCTATTTTTATTTCTGTGGTTACTACTAAAGAAACCTGCTTCTCTATGTACTTTGCGGTTCCTTGTTTGCCTCTGGAGGATTTTTTTTTTAAGTTTGCAGAAGCTTTAATTTTTTATTACTTTTTTTAACTTTTATTAATTACACTTTATTCACTTTGTATCCCCCCATAAACCCTTCCCTCCTCCCCTCCTAATCCCACCTTCCCTTCTCCTTCTTCACACATGCCCCTCCCCAAGTCCACTGATAGGGGAGGGCTTCCTCTCCTTCCTTCTGATCCTAGTTTATCAGATCTCATCAGGAGTGGCTGCATTGTCATCCTCTGTGGCCTAGTAAAGCTGCTCCACCCTCAGGGGGAGGTGATCAAAGAGCAGGCCAATCAGATTATGTCACAGGCAGTCCCTATTCCCATTACTATGGAACCCATTTGTATACTGAACTGCCATGGGCTACATCTGTGCAGGGGTTCTAGGTTATCTCCATGCATGATACTTGGTTGGAGTATGAGTCTCTGAAAAGACCCCTGTGTTCAAATTTTCTGGTTCTGTTGCTCTCCTTGTGGAGCTCCTGTCCTCTCCAGATCTTACTATTTTCCACTTCTTTCATAAGATTCCATGCACTCTGCCCAACAGTTGACCATAAGTCTCAGCATCTGCTTTGATAGTCTGCAGGGCAGAGCCTTTCAGGGGCCCTCTGTGACAGGTTCCTAACTTGTTTCCTGTTTTCTTCTTCTTCTGATGTCCATCCTCTTTGCTTTTCGGGATGGGGATTGAGCATTTTAGTCAGGGTCCTCCCTCTTGATTAGTTTCTTTAGGTGTACAGCTTTTAGTAGGTTTATCCTATATTATATGTCCATATGAATGAGTATATACCGTGTGTATCTTTCTGATTCTGGGACAGCTCACTCAGGACGATCCTTTCCAGTCCCCACCATTTACCTGCAAATTTCATGATTTCCTTGTTTTTCATTGCTGAGTAATATTCCATTGTGAAATGTCTGTTGCACATACATACTTTCAAGTAAGGTCCAATATTACATTCATTAGTCTTCATTTTGTAAGAAAAATAATCATAACATCATCCATTTTCTCTGTATGTGTATATATGTGTGTGTGTGTGTGTGTGTGCACTTGTATGTTTAAAACAGATATTGATATGTTATATTTTATTCAATTATGCTCCACCATCTATTCATAAATAGGTTCTCTCACTGAACCTCTATTCTTCATGCTTTGTCTTCAGTCTTGAAAGGTAAGCACCCAGTAACTAAACCATTTTTCCTGTCCCCAAGAGATTCCATTTTTTGATTGAGCAATGAATTCGTATTTAGCCTGCATACAATTTTAAGACAGGTAGATATGAGATAGGCTGAGATATTTTCAAGTTAGAACAAGGCTTATAAGCAGGGTGGGCTCAGAATAACACTATTATTGTCACTAACAAGGATCTTTAAAAACTTAAACTCTAGCTGTAATCTTTGTAAACATATTAAACCACTAATTAGCAAGTTAAGTAGAGTGTTAGCAGGGTTGTGCCAACTAGATTATGATAACTATATGCCTTATATAGATGAAAAACACCTTGGAAAAATCTTCCAGTATATGATTATTCTTCAGGGAGATGTTTCATCTTGTAAATGCTTGCTGCACAAGCACAGAGACCCAAGATCGCATCTTCAGGGCAAGTATAAATCTGGTAGAAAGAAAATATTTTGTAATTTGTTGGGTTTTTTTTTTTGCAGTAATAGCCATAATTACCTATACTCAAAATCAGTAAAAATGTTTTTTTAAATAAATAAAACACTTGAGAGTTCTCATCACTAAATGAGCATCCTAAATCTCACTCTACCCGCACATGGATCAGGGATCATCATGAAGTAGTTAACAGAAAGTCTTTAAGAACAGAAATTCCATATTACTACATTGAAATTCAGTTGCTGCATCTATGAAATCAAAGTAGTAGTGACAGCTGCAAACAAGACCCAATCATCCAGAAGCCTTACAAAATTCACCTTGGAGATTGACTTAGTCACAAAGATACTCATTACTGAGAAGCTCCTTGTAATAATTAACTGGGTTAGAAAAGTCAGTCTGGTATGGCATGGTATAGCAGGTTTTTGTTTTTATTTTAATTTTTATTAATTACAGTTTTTTTCATTTTGTATCCCCTGTAGCTCCCTCCTTCCTCCCATCCCAATCACACCCTCTGTCCCCCTTCTCCACCCATGTCCCTCCCCAATTCCACATGGCTATTTCAAGATGGTGGGCAGATATCTCACATTGCAGGATAAAAATCATGTGTTCCACAGGATTATTTAAAAACATCTGTGTTTTCATAGTTATTACAAACAAGTATACACACATATTTATTTTAAATAAGAGTTTGAACTTAAAATTTAAACATCATCTTTTGTAAGTCTGGTTTTTAACACAGGGCAAGAATTACATAAAAATCTTACCCCAATTTAGAGTATCATAATAACTGTTTCTTCCATCTTCTTCGTGCCTTGTGTTGTTGACCAGAGTGACTCCAACCCTGAGTTACTTGGTTTTTTGTTGTTTTGTTTTGTTTTTAATTTTGTTATTTTTTTCTTTTTTATTTTTCTTTTTTATTTTCATTAATTACACTTTATTCACTTTGTATCCCCCCATAAGCCCCTCTCTCCTCTGCTCCTGGTCGAAACCTCCAACCCCTTCTTCACGCATGCCCCTCCCCAAGTCCACTGATAGGGGAGGTCCTCCTCTTTTTCATCTGATCTTAGTCTATCAGATCTCATCAGGAGTGGATGCATTGCCACCTTCTGTGGCCTGGTAAGGCTACTCCCAACTCAGGAGGTGATCAAAGAGCAGGACAATCAGATTATGTCAGAAGAAGTCCCTCTTCCCATTACTATGGAACCATCTTGGACACTGAACTGCTGTGGGCTGTATCTGTGCAGGGGTTCTAGATTATCTCCATGCATGGTACTTGTTTGTAGTATGAGTATCTGGGAAGTTCCCTGTGTTCAAATTTCTGGTTCTGTTGCTCTCCTTGTGGAGTTCCTGTCCTCTCAAGGTCTTCCAATTTCCCAGTTCTTACATAAGATTCCATGCACATGGCCCAACAGTTGGCCATAAGTCTCAGCATCTGCTTTGATAGTCTGCAGGGCAGAGACTTTCAGAGGCCCTCCGAGACAAGTTTGTAACTTGTTTCTGTTTTCTTCTTCTTCTGATGTCCTTCCTCTTTCTTTGCCTTTCAGGATAGGGATTGAGCATTTTAGTCAGGGTCCTCTCTCTTTATTAGTTTCTTTAGGTGTACAGATTTTAGTAGGCTTATCCTATATTACATGTCTATAAGAGTGAGTATATACTGTGTGTTTTTCTGCTTCTGGGACAGCTCACTCAGGATGATCTTTTCCAGGTCCCACCATTTACCTGCAAATTTCATGATTTCCTTGTTTTTCATTGCAGAGTAATACTCCATTTTGTAGGAGTATTTTCTGCATCCATTTTTCAGTTGAGGGGCATCTCGATTGTTTCCAGCTTCTGGCTATTACAAATAAAGCTGCTGCACACATGATTGAGAAAATGTCCTTATTGTGTACTTGAGCCTCTTTTGGGTATATGCCTAAGATTTGTATGGCTGGATCTTGAGGAAGCGCTATTCCTAGTTGTCTGAGAAAGTGCCAGACTGATTTCCAGAGTGGTTTTACCAGTTTACATTCCCACCAGCAATGGAGGAGGGTTCCCCTTTCTCCACAACCTCTCCAGCATGTGTTGTCCCTTGAGTTTTTCATCTTGGCCATTCTGATGGGTGTAAGGTGAAATCTCAGGGTTGTTTTGACTTGCATTTCCCTAATGGCTAATGAGGTTGAGCATTTCTTTAAGTGTTTCTCTGCCATTCGATGTTCCTCTACAGAGAGTGCTCTGTTTAGCTGTGTTCCCCATTTTTTAATTGGATTGCTTGGTTTGTTACTTTTCAGCTTATTTAGTTCTTTATATATACTGGATATTAACCCTCTTTCAGATAAAGGGTAGGTGAAGATTCTTTCCCAATCTGTAGGCTGTCGTTTTGTTCTGATGACAGTGTCCTTTGCTTTACAGAAGCTTTTCAGTTTCATGAGGTTCCATTTATTGATTGTTGGTCTTAGAGCCTGTGCTGTTGGTGTTCTGTTCAGGAAGTTGTCTCCTGTACCAATGAGTTCAAGGGTATTCCCCACTTTTTCTTCTAACCTATTTAATGTGTCTGGTTTTATGTTAAGGTCTTTGATCCACTTGGACTTTAGTTTTGTGCTGGGTGATAAGTATGGATCTATTTGCATTTTTCTACATGTAGACATCCAGTTAGAGCAGCACCATTTTTTGAAGATGCTATCTTTATTCCATTGTATGGTTTTGGCATCTTTGTCAAAGATCAGGTGTCCATAAGTGTGTAGGTTTATTTCTGGGTCCTCTGTTCAGTTCCATTGATCCACCATTCTGTTTCTATGCCATTACCATGCAGTTTTATAACTGTCGCTCTATAGTACAGCTTAAGATCAGGGATGAAGATACCTCAAGAAGATCTGTATTGTAGAGGACTGTTTTAGCAATTCTAGGTTTCTTGTTATTCCATATGAAGTTGAGAATTTTTCTTTCCAGGTCTGTAAAGAATTGTGTTGGTAATTTGATGGGAATTGCATTGAATCTGTAGATTACTTTTGATAAAATGGCCATTTTTACTATGTTAATCCTGACAAGCCATGAGCATGGGAGATCTCTCCATCTTCTGATATTTCCTTCTAATTCTTTCCTCAGAGACTTGAAATTTTTTCACAAAAGTACTTGACTTGCTTGGTTAGGGTTACACCAAGGTACTTTATGTCATTTGTGGCTATTGTGAATGGTGTTGTTTCCCTAATTTCTTTCTCATCCTTTTGTCTTTTGTAT